AGACCATTGAGAGGGCACGCAGGGAGGGACAGCTGCCAGCCACACTGCAGACCCACAGCTGCGAGGGGTGTGAGCTGCAGCACAAATGAGTTGTTTCTGTAGCTTATTAGCCATGCGGATCAGGCAGGAGTTACAAGTGCAGCAGACGTATGCTGGGGCCCCAGGTCTGGCACAATGCGCAGCCCCTCTCTGCAGAAGCCCGGACCCCTGGGGAGGAGGCAGGCAGCAGGGAGAGGTACACATGCTGCTCTGTCCCCGGGCATGGCTCCTAGACTGGGGCTGAGTCCCCACAGGCACAGTCCAGAGGGATCGCCACCTCCCCCGGGACAGACCAGCACGGGGCCCTGTGGCCATGCTGGAGCTGCTGTAGGGGCTCGCACCCCACCTGCAGCCCCCTCCAGCCAGGACGGGACGGAGCACCCTCTGTCTCTTCCAGTGGGGCCCCACCTCCAGCACCAGCAGCCTGGTCCCTTGCCGCCCACGGTGGGCATTTCGTACTGCCCAGCTGGACAGATCCTCTGCGCCTGGGGAGGCTTTGCCCGGCTCCCCCTGACCGCAGCAGGCTGCGGTGCTCTGGCTCACCCCACGCTCAGTGCCCATGGCCTCTCAGGCCAGCCCAGCCACTTCACCTTGCTAACCAGGAGAAAACTGTGCCCCTTCCATCTGGCTAGTTTGTGCCAACACTGTTTTGTTCACCCATGCGCCTTTCTGGTGAGTCCACAGCACGAGCGACCGACTCGTGGCTCTGCCCCCCGGATGGCAGCAGGGACCATGAGCCCCACAGAGACCTGCAGCTCAGGCTGAACCCCCGACCCAGGACTGGCCTTCCCTCTCCCCTGCCCTCCCTTTGTGGTTCTCGATTAGGACAGCCACGGAGACATGCCAGAGGTATTCCAGGAAGGCAGCTGGAGGGGTTCTGCCCTTCTGAACCTGAACACCGAGCGCACAGCCACGTTAACGCATGATACGAATACAAGTGGATTGCAGCAAGATCTTCCTTCTCCCTGGTAAGCCATTAACCTTTCAGATGACAGCCTTGCAAACTAAATGACTGAACTATTCCCAGGGTCAGCACGAATCTACATTTTCAAAACCTGACATCAACAAGTAAAAGTTGTGACTGAATCCCGGTCTCTCCGAGAGGAAGATTAAACGCCTATGACACATCTTCTGCAATCAGAGTGCTCCATTTCCCAAAGTATCCGTCACAGATTGATAACATCCACGCAAAAAGTTAAGTGCAATTATGTCTGTCACTGTAAAACACACTTCAGCAGCACTGACTGACATCTTGCTTGCAGCTGACAAATTGTGAGAGGGCTGTTTGAATGACGGTGGTAGAGACTCCCACAGCACCTCGGGAAGGGATATGAAACGTACTCCAAAACCACAGAAGCCACACAGGCTCACAAAGCACTGCAGCTGTGATGGGAGCCAATACGTAGGCAACCGCAACGCAAAATGGTTTGAGGTTGGCTCTCTGCATTCACAGAAGTCAGGGACTTGCTCCCAAAAGGCTAGAACTAGACTTGCAAAGAGGAGAACATCACACACAAATCCTGCTCTAGCCTACTCCAACAGAGCTTGAAGCATGGAGGGGCTGAGCCCCAAGACACTGCTCAAGTGCTCGTGATGTGTACTCTTCTCCAAGTCCTCATCCCGTGCACTGGCAATCACCAATCCACAAGCTAGGTGAAGCCAAAGTGTGCAAAGGGCCAGGTGAGTCACCTGTTAGTAGCACCTCTTTTGGGGGACAATTACCTTCTTGTTCCGCAAAGCAATGTCACCATGCAGCACCAGAGAGTGCAAGAGTTGAACACAGAGCAGAGGTACTCAAGAAAGTTACATTAAACTCCCACTGGTGACTCAAGTCAACAAAAGCAGTTCTTTAGTAGCAGCCTTCTAGGATGGGAAACTGAAAGTGCATTTCTCCAGGCTGCCATTAGTGCCAAGAAGCTGTCGCAGAATTTGGAGAGAAAAGACAGTAAAGCAGCTTGATGCCTTGCACAATGGCACAGTTGTGCTCCACAGCACAGCACGCCATCCTCACTGGGATGCGCGAGGGCTGCCGTTAGAGACCATTAAGCCAGATGCCTGCAGTAGGAAACACCAAGGAGAAGAAATGGCTGAAAAATAACATATGCAGTCCAGCACGAATATCAAACAAAGCCTCCCCTTGTGCAGTTCTGACTGCGAGCCATAACCCCGCAACACAAGAAACGGAAGCAGCATTGCTGACGTGCAGCAAGCTGTGGAGGTCAAACCTCTGACACATGACAAAACTCTGATGTGCCGCCATCCACTGCCATCAGGAACTTACATCATGGATCAGAAGAGGAAACATGGCTGGTGCAGAAATAAACATCTCCCACAGTGTAAAGTCCTTTCATTTAGGAAGGTTTTGCTGTGCAGAAGCTCACTGCTATGTTTTCCTTGTTTAGTTTATATCCAGTTTTAGCAATTGTTCTGAAGCAGCCAAGCATACCCTCTTGATTTAAAATTATTTTATAATGCTAGCCAGCAACTGAAGAGAATAGCTTAAATATCTGACCAGCCTAATGGCAGAATCTCCACAGTGCTCTCTGTTTGGCACTGCTCACCAGTTTTCTCTTAGCACTCACAGCAGCAGCAGAATAACTCACTGCTGTTCCTGTCAGGATATATCCATATGGAATAAAATGGCAAACTGGCTACCAGTGTAATCTCATCTCTCTATGGTGACGTAAAAATAAGAGGTTACTTGTGACAACCATCTTCCACAAACATTAAGTGTTGAGTAACTTACCACATTGCTGATAAAGTATTAGAAAAGGCTTTCAAGTAGTATGTGTTCCCCATAATAATGAAATACTTGCAGGATGCACCTTTATATACATTTCTATTTCTTAAAAAATATATTGGATAATAAATAATCAGAGTAAAAAAACAGACATGAAAGATGCTTTGAATGATCAGGCTGGTGGCGTAAAAGTTACCTGTAAATCACGCACAGGGCATGAGAGTGGAGCTGGCTACAGACAGGTGGTTTTTACTAGGAGGCATTAATGTAACATTCAATTATTCCACTGCATACTGGCTGTTTTAACTCAGCCAAATTAGAATACATTTTATATTGACTATTTTGACATTTGCTTTATTTGGCAAGTAAAACAAAACTGATCCAATTTCCTTGCAGCCATTGTAAACCATAAACTGTACAACAAGAGGTTATAAAATATATAAGCCTTGTAAACACTTCTTTTCAGACTGTCGCTGATGCTCTGAGCTCTAATTTTGGCCCTGTTCCCAATGGCTCTGACACTGCTCTGCAGCCTTCCCTGCTCAGCCATAAAGTGACCCTTCCACACTTAGTGATTAAGGACCGCCATTGACATTCTCTTGCTATGATAATTTTTTCTCTTTATTGTGGAAATCTGCCCAGGCAGGAATTTCTTGCAGACAGAAAATGAAGATCTGTGCTCTAAAATCAAGACATCTTTTTCTCTGATCTTGCATGGCCTGTGCTAGCATGTAGCTTATGTCCAGTGGAGCTTCAAAACAACGTATCAGCTCCCAGTGGGACAGGCCGAAATCTCCAGAAGACTGCTGGCTTTTCATCTCTTTTGCTTCCATCTCTGTCTGAGAAGCAAGACGGCATCTCTGCCTGCAGCACACCTGACAGTACAGGACAGCAAGCAGCGTGCCATGGCACAGCAGGCAACTGAGCAAAACTCTCAGTGAAAGAAACACCCAAATGCTTTGGAGAGCTCAAAAAGCTACCGCAAGACAGCAGATTTAAGTCTGGGTCATGGGTGAAGGCTCAGATGTACACACCTGCTTTAAAGACACCCGATAGCTTTTTCGGGAACAGTTTACAGCAGGTTAAAAGCATCATTCTCTGAAATGACCTGTATATCAAGACTTTGAAGGACATGAGTATTTTCCACCCATATGATACAATGACCTTTGTACATAAACTGATCCCCCTGCAATTCCCCTCCACTGCCTCCTTTGAAATTCTAGCTCTCAACAGTTACTGCAATACTGTAAATGTATCTGCAGTATACCAAATGCCTAGTGCAAAAATACGCATTTGCTTAATTAAGCAAAAGCCCAAAGGGACCCATAGAGAATGTGCTGTCCCTGACAATAGCCCGGCCCGGAGTTCAGTTGATGTGCCTCGTCAGTAGGAGCCCATCTTGCACTGGATGCTGTGCTTTCATAGCAAATGCCAGAAATATAAAGCACTCAGTTTAACCTCTGTCTGGGTTGGTTTGTTGCTTAACAACACTTTGTTTTGTCCAGAGAAATCCAGCAAGTAAGCTGTCAATACAGTACTACTGTTATATGCAAGTATACAAACAAGTACATACATTTATACACACCCACAAATTTTGTCTATAACACAGGGAAAACAACCTGGACAGACACTATGCCAGCATCTGCCCAGAAGTGCTGCTCCTGTCAGTCACTGCAGGATGAGCAGTCTGCTCTGCATGCTCAATGTCACCTGCAAGACTGGAGCACAGTAGTCAGGTCCAAGAAAGGAAAAAACAGGGCCAGTACTTCAAACCATGAGGGGACTGATTCTGGAGAATGAGCAAAACTTGTCTCCCTATGCATTAAAATCTGTATGAACGCTTCTCCCTCCCTTTGGTCAAGGAGGGAAATCAGCTTGGCTACAGTTCTGGCCCACCCTCCAGGGGTGACCCATGCATACTTTTTGAAAACTACAACGTTCTGCACAGCTTAAAGTGAAGAAAAGGTGTAGTTTGCCGTTTCCCTTCCTCTGCAGGCTGCTTCTTTCTTCTGACACCTATATGTCTTTATACAACAACAGTCAAAGGAACTTCCAGTAGGCAAATACTTGAAAGAAGGACACATTCCCTCATTATCAGATCATGCCACAATCATTTGTACTGATGTGGCACCCTGGTCTTGATTCCCCCAGGCAAGGTTAGTAACAATACAAATACACCATGCAGCATCAAGCAGAAGGGGCTGGAAAGCAGAAAACTCACCTTGGCAGGTTAGGAGCTGGTGTCGAAGATGGTACTTGGGAAGGAGGAGTCGCAGGCTGTGAAGATTCATGGTTGCGTGGAACTCTGCCCATCCGGTACCAAATGCCCATGTTGTTCAACTCCCTGTGTCATCAACACAGAAGACATTAATGCTACAAGCAAATGCTGCACACATGCCCAAGTATCAAGCACTGATGTGTTTCACAAACACCTTGATTAGTGAGGACCAGTAGGGGTTAGTTAATTCCTACATCAAACTCAGTAACACCTGTAGTTATGTAGACTCTTCTAATGACAGGCTTCAGCTCTTGCAAACTGCTACTTAGTAATTAGAGGAAAACAGGGTGCTTAGCCTTGGTACAACTGAATTTATGACAACAGCTTCTAGAGTGAGGGGTACTTACCCTATGAATGTGTACTGAGGAGGGGCTTGTTTAGATCTACCCAGGATTCGGATGTCACAGATCGCTGCCTCTGTAGAATCTCGAGGGATGAATTTAATGCATAGCCTCTTCTTTCTGAAAGCTATTTCTTCTGCAAAAACAACCCAGGACACAGGGTGTTTTTTTATGCAAGATTAGGGCATAAATGTTATTTATTGTCTCTCCAGATATTAGGCAGATAATTATGGCAGGAACTGGAGCCAAAGAACAGATATATGTCAGCAAACCAGACAGTGCAGTGCCATTCAGTGACTGGAGAAATTTTCTATCAGGAGCTCTCTGTACACTGTGTGAGATTTGTTATTAGGCACTGTGATAAACCAGTACTCCCTACTACCGTCTGCAGAGAAGATAAGACATCATGTATGCCACAGAATACTGCACCACAGAACAGAAATGGCAGGTGATTTTTCCACTTCCACGTACTTCTCACATTCGCTTTCTCTTTCCAAGGTAATGTTTGCCTTACCAGCCTGGACAGTCATATCTAAATATTCTTCCCACAAGCATTGCCTCTAGGAACATACCTGGAAGCTCTGACACAACCAGTCAGTTTATACTGCCAAGTGCTTCCAAACAGCCAAACAAACCAAGAGGAGGAGCAGGCAGAGAAACAGACTGCCGGAGTGGCTAACGGTAAAAGCTGTCTGCCCAAATCTCACCCATCTTAAGTGTTAATGACCTCTCCTGACTCAGTCAGCAAGCACTGAAATGATATTCACACTGTGTTTGCCCTGGTATCTTTGTAGGGATAAACCACATTTACAAAGCAGTAATTGCTAGGACCTCCTACAGGGCAACTGTGCTGCACTGCCCTGTGTTCAGAGGGTGGAAGAATCTGCTGCATGGCCCCTTCCTGCTATGCACCACAAAGCAATTTCACTTATTTCCATGTTATCCATCAAGAAAAACTCAAGCCCATCAGAGTTAAGGCTTATCTGTATAATGAATTCATGTATATGCACACTGTCTGTCTGCATGCAGGTACAATCCACATCCAGCTATGGGTCAGGCGCATGACAATGGGTGGCACTGGCACACAGATAGAGATTTGCGGTGCTTGGAAACCATTGCTCTGTCTCACCCTGAAGAGTCTGTGAGAGTCTCAATGTGAGCAAGGTGAGGTTTCTATTTGTGAATGCAGGCACTTGAAAGACATGACAGAAGTCTATGGATAAACTGAAAATCTGAAGTGCAGACACTGAATGAAAATCTGGAAACAACCAGCAACTACAAGCAAGTGCCTGCAAAATAAAAACCCTTCAGTTTAATATGAATAAATATCCTCCGGCTTAAAAATATGCTCTTACTTCAACAGATGGCAAGCAGCCTAGTCTCTATAGGCTCCTCCTTTCGTAATCCGCACCTTGGAGAAAGCAATCCATCCCAGCCTCTGAAACTTGCTGTCGCTCCAGCACCAATAAATGTACAGACAGTGCGAGGTGTGTCACAATACAGCATCTGTGCGTGCAGCTTTGCAGTTACAATGCTGCTTTTTAGAGATGTTAAATACCTGTATCCCTGACGTCTAGTCTTCTGCTTTGGAAAACTAGGGCTTTTACTTGAAGTGCCTAAAACTGATTTTGAGAGGCCAGGATTTAAGGTTTCCACATCTGAAAATTTTCTCAGAACCTAGTAAGCAGTACTAAATTTAATATATTTACTACAAGTCAACTGTCACTTAGAGACGAGCACAGAAACACATATAACCACAAAATTAACTCTAAACAAAATCAGTGTCTCTTGTTTGACTTTCACAGTGAGTACAAAGCTATTTGCTTTTGTCTTTGGTTTCTTTCACACTTGGTTAGAGTCTGTAGTCTGTAGCAAACTTGGTTTAGGAGCTGGATTCCTTAATTACACATGCTTAACCAGAGTTAATTTTAAGTAAACATATTATAAACAGTCAATCGAAATGTGTTCGTTCATGCTAATGGAAGCAGGGATATGCACGACTTCATTAATACAGACAGTGCTTCTGCTTTAAAGATTGTATGGGTCACAATCCAATGCATTTTTAAATTAATTACCAAGTCCCCCTCCACCTTTCCACCAGAACTTTGACAAAAATTACAGTAGCGCACAGTAAGCGTCCAGCACTCCCAAGGGCGAGCAGGATAAGCCAATGACTCTCCCCCGCGCCACATGTGCCCAGAAATTCTCCAGGGAAAGGGGATGATGCAGGGGAATGGAAATGGGCTGCAGAGCCTTTGACTTCTAGGTCATGGGTTCAAATTAGAACCAGGTTGGTAGTGACTGAAAAACCATCCTCATCTGCTGCAGACCGGCATGAATTATTCCCTGCAAAGCAGGCTCATATAACTCGCTTCTACTCATAACTAGGCTGGATTTCATTACTGACGAGCGCTGGTACCAGCCCTGCTCTTGAGCAGTAGCTGTACGCTCAGCACGCTCAGCACCAGCACATGGTGTCCTGCAGCCCTTCCACACTCAGTTCCCACGGGGCTTGTCCCCAGCCTCCTCCGCGCTGCAAGCCCAAAGCACTTGATACCTGCTGCAGAGTGCTGCGACCAGACGTGGCTCCAGCTGCCGCTGCCATGAGTCTCGGGGGATCCGAATACACTCTTTGGGAACTGCTGGCTTAAATGTTGCAGCAAAGCTATTTCTGCCTTGCAGAAATGAGGATGGCATTTTCCCTGGACATTCTGCTTGTGCTTTCTCTCAGCAAGTGTAAACACACCCTACCAGCCTCAGCACTACCTGTCAGGACATGGGCCTTCGTTTGTTCATGGTGGGAGGTGTAAAGCCAGCATACACAAACCGAGCACCACAAGCACACGCCCCTCCTTTTGGCATCCATTTGTGAACATCCCTCAGCACAGCAGCTCTGCTCCCCCTAGGCCTAGCCCACCCTTGCAAAATGAAAGAATAAACTATTCCTTCCTGCCCCAGAGCTGTGCTGCTCTAGCAGGCAAGCTGGTGACAGTCAGGCAGCAGTATTAAAAAGCCTGAAGAGTACTGGAAAACCAAAGACTGTTTCATTGCAGTCCAGAACTGCCCCCGAACATGCACATGTAACCCCAGAGAGCAGCAGTGCTGAGAGCGTCCCTCTGCCTGGGACACAGCCCTCCACCACCTGACCGCAGTGGCTGCTCCCAAGGCACAGAACTGAAGAACAGATGCCAACTTACGTGTATCGATAGTCTCCTGGATGGGGATGAAGCCCACAGGTAAAGTGTCCTTGATATCAATGAGCTTCATATCAACCAAAACGTTGCCTAAATGACTCTTTGGAGAGAGAAAAGAAACAGTTGACTATGACAGTATCACCAAATTCAAACCCAGCTTTTCTCACCTGCTGAACCCCAAGGCACCTTGTCATTGTATCTGACCACCAACTTTAAAAATGGTAAGGAGGTACCAAGCCAACACTTGCAACTGTCCCCTCTGCAGGAACTACATGATGATTGACTAGGAGATACTGGACAACTTTCAGCATTTACAGATTCTTAAACCTCATCCACTGCCATACTTCTGGATCCTTGGAAGCACAACTAAATTCTTCCCTTTGGAAACACGGCAGTTCAAAGTATTACCTCCACCAACTCATCCACTAAGCAGGTCACCTTAGTTATCACACACTACATCTACAATAGCAACATGACATTTCTGTGACAGTAACAGCAGAAAGCATTACGGGAAGATGGTTCATGCAGACACAGCCAAAGTTATAACATGCATTAGCTAATTAGTACTGAATAGACATGGTTCTAGCTCCAAACGCAGGCACACTCCAGAAGAGCAGGCCATTTGGAACGAAGAACTTCATTTGGAGTCCATATGAATTCTGAACTGATGCCTTGTCCTATTAATCAAGGCTTGAAGAGCTCAAAACACAATTCAGAATGACAGCCTCCACAATTGTTTAGAGACCAGATCTTCTTTGCAGTTCTCGTTAAAGCCAGCATTGCTGCCAATAATCTGGATTCACGTATGGAAGAAAAACACACTTTAGTTACTGCACAGCCTTTATAAACAGAAATGCAATACAGAACAATTAAAATTTCATCCTAAGCCATCAAACCATGTCAGTGTCTTTTTCTGTTATGGGTTGCTAAGTACCTCCTTTAGTTTTTATCTGGCAGAGTACTTCAGTCAAACCTCCACACTCTGATTATTACACTGAACTATTTTAAAACATATTTAAATTTGCAACCTCTGAAATAAGGGGAGATCAGGTCTGAAGTTTATTTTTTGGAGGTTCTGCATTTCATGGTCAACCCCTCACCAGGAGGGCCACCCCACCTGCAGCCCTATGCCACCATATGCAAGCGTGGCACACACCCTTTGCTCATGCAAAGTGGCCAAGGCCAGGCACTCCCCACATGCCTCTGTCACCCCTTTGGCCAGGGCATCTCAGAGCAAGCAATGCTGGATGCTGCAAAGCCTGAATGTATCAGTAAACATGGTCCTGGCACAGCAAACAGTAGATGAAGTGGTCACTGCTGATTCATCTTTCATGTTTTATTTATCCAAACTGTCTGGCTATGTTACATCAGCATGCAACTTTCAGCTGAACCAACGATCGTTCCTCCATCAGCAGCAGACAGGTAGGAGAGATGTCTCTGATAAGTTCGTTAGCTGCTGAAACTCTGGGAGTCAGCATTGATGCTCTGCCATATACACAGGAGAAAAGGGCACAAAGCCTCCCCGTTTACAAGATGCACCATTTGGGGCCTCCTCACCATGACACTCAAATACCAGCAATGTCCTCATAATCTGTCAAATATTGTAAGCCGATGAGAACAATGATTCTGATGCAGAGACACTACAGACTGTCTCCGTTACAGACCAGGTACCTGAGGTGCATTACCTCTGCTAACTACAACATGTTCTTCAGGACAAATAGTTCCCAGTGTTTTGTTAAAAACAAAAAAAAAAACCCTGAGCAGTAAAACTTCCAGCTCAAAGCACAGCAACACATCAACCTCCAGGCGAGAGAAGCTTCTCCCTCCCAGATGAGAGCTCTAGGTCACTGCTGCCACCGAGGCCTTTTAACCCTCGAGGTCACCAGTCGGGCAGCACATCGTACCCCTGTGTGGCCAGAGAGGACTGAGAGGGGAGGGAAAGCTCTTGCTGGGCTAACCGGGGACAAGGGTGCTGCTCCCCACACAAGAGGAAAAGGCTGTTACCCCACCGGTCCGGTCCCCTCCTCCTCTCAGCCCACCAGCCCGCTTCCAGCCTTCCTGCAGCCAGAGGACTAGGAGTGCTGATCAGATCTGTGTGCGTCCCATAGACTGGCAAACCAGTGCCAGCATCTACCAGCCTGGTCTCTGCCTCACAAAAAGGCCCCCTTGCACACGCAAAGCCCGTGGCCTCAAGCAGCACAAGCGCATGTTCTGTCTAGCATGGGCAGAGGCGTGTGTTCGGGAGGGAGCCCACTCGGACAGACGGAGGAGGCTCACAGGCCTTGGGAAATCCACCCTCTGAGAAGAGGGGGTGCTCCTGATGTGCATTGGGTATGGCCGTGATGAACCACAGGACCAGTGCCTGAACATGGTCAGCACTGCCTGCAGGCTGCTGCCCAGGAGCTCTGCCAGAAGCGCCCGTGGGTCTAACATGCCACTGATGCAGGGCTTGAGACAACCCATGCGCAGGACGCAGTGACTCATGCCACACCTTGCACACCAGGCTGCTGTGCAGCTGGGACCAGCAGTCCTCCCCCCACACTCCCTTTAATTCACTCCTCATCAATATGAGGAATGTATTCCCAAACTGTGCTGAGCAAAGGATTCATGCCAAAAGCCCAACAGGCACCAACTGAGGGTACTTACACTGTCTCTGGTAGCCAGCAGTTGCTACTATCCTGTAATTATTTCTGACAACCTTGCATTTAAGGTAGCCACAGATAAACTTAATACTCAAATCATCACAAATCTTTCCATTTAATACCTGCCCTGCCTATTCTAGGGCTATTATTCCTGCTACTGCAGGTACTCCAGGATGAAAAGCACAATTATTGTCCATCCACCCCAGGAAGCATTATTTCCCATAGCTCTGGAGCTTTATTTTAATCTAGAGGCAGGCAGGGAAGCGGATGGAATAAAGGTCAAATGCTGGAAATTGGCAGCCCCCGGCTTTCCTGTCAGGACCCATGATCAGCCTCTCAAGTCACAGTTGTTTTTCTGTTCCCATCGTTGGTGAAAGCACGAGTACAAAATGGTTATCTCCATACCCTGACAATTGAGTCACTGTGAATATCCAAAACATGACCAAAAGCAGGATTACCCACTAGATGGAGTGCATTCATTGTAGAATTAAATAGTTCCTTCAGAAAAGAGGAAGTTTTCACACTAGCCTCAACCAAAAACACAGTAGAAGGCATCAGGTTCTCACTGTACATGGTCTCCTTTCCTCCACAGAAGATGTGGGCAGACAACTGCCACTAATCAGAAACTAACTTACGCTTAATAGCCATACTAGAAGACTACAAGAATATGGTAGCATATGCACAACGTGGGCAAATTTTCAAGAATCAGCACCAAAAACAACAAAAAAAGAAAAGCTAATCCTGCAAAAAATATCTATGATGCCCCTGGATTCAGAAGCTAACATTTCCTTCATCAACACTGCCTGCAGCATTTGCTTCTCTAGGTAATTAGAGTTAGAAATGCATTAGGATCATGAGCATGCAGAGCCCATTGCTACAGCAGGAAATGGTAGTGTAAGTGGGTTGCTGAAATGCAAGCATTCCCTTTTCTGTTGTTTTTATTGCAGATTTTGCCAGTGATTTCTTTCCATGAAGAACGTAGACAAAATGCAAATATCTGGCCATTGCAGTTTGCCTCCTGACTCACCCAAACTCAGTGAAATGCCTGCTTGAATTATAATTGGCTCCATAAAATGAATCATCCTATGGGTAAGAGCATACCAGGCACAGATGCAAATCATGCAGACACTCAAACGGACTTACATTTTCTTTTGAAAATGATCTCGTGAAGCACAGGTATCGTGTGACCTTGGATTTAAATAAGCCATCTTTCCAGAGGTCAGCATCCAAGCCATCTGCTGTTTGTGCAGCCTGGAAAGAAAAGACAGAGGGAGAGAGGAGACATGTGAGCCAAGATAAAGTTAATATATGTGCCGTACTTCTTCCTCAGACCTCTTCTAATTAACGGTACCCGAACTCTCACAGCATCTCATTAGTTTCTTCACAAGGTGCAGTGCAAAGAACTTCCAAGAGGAGGTATAAAAAGAAGTTCTAAAAACGCTGTCTCTTGGGAGTCCTTTGATTAAAGATGCTCTGACAAAGGCTATTCTAATGAGGAAACAGCAACTTTGGTTACAGTCTCCAAACAATAGTTTGGAAAAGTCAGCATATTGAGGCTCTCATTACCACCCTACACGCAAGGGCACACTGGGGCAAGCTGTGAGGAGGGGTCCGTGTAGACAAAGCACAGAAACTGCCCAATCTCAGTTATATTTTCACAGAAAAGCCATCGAGGAATTCTGGCTCCCAGGCCAAAAAGCTGCTTCCAGCAGCTGGGGAAAGCCCTGGTCACTCACAAACTTTAACAGCAGTGCCATGGGCAACAACACACCCTGCAAACATCCCTCTCCAATGCAACCCTGTGTCCAGTCGAATCAGTGGCAGACACTGCACAGAGGGCAAAGGAAACAGACCCCGGGCCCTCCACCAAAGAGACAGCGGCATGTGCAGGAAGAGAAAGGCAGGAGAAGATCTCGCCTTCGAGCTGATTCAAGGTATGGGCATGAGGCAGCACCACACCCAGGGAAAGGGCTCTCCTCTATTAGCAGCTCCGCACTTGCCTTGCACAGTGCAAGCTGGTAAGAGCCCCTGCCCCAAAAGGTTTGTTGTCGAATAAGAAAGGAGACAAGGCAGCAAACACAAGGTGGAGGGTAGCAGAAATAAGATCACCCCACCAGACTAACGGCTGACTGATGGCTCCCAACAGGAGACTCTAGCATGGCCTGAAGCTACGCAGAAGCACAGCTGAACTTCTGCCTAATGCCTCTCAGATGGGGGCAAACTGCTCCACTGCAGCTCTTCCAAGTCTCATCTTACTGAATTGAGTAAGACCTTGGTCCCAGAGCAGCCTGATAACAAAGAGCTGACATTTGTTGTTACTATTTGCACCCATGTTTTGTCGAGCAGAAACTCTGTGCAGGGTGCAGGAAGCAAGAGATGTGTGCTGACAAGACCCTCCAATTATCCAATGTGCAGGAGAGAAAAGTGTGTTTATTGTCTGATCAGCAAAGGGAATAAAGTGCATTGGCTGCTCTTCGCATTTCAGCAACTGCTGTTCACAAGCCCCTGCTCAGCTCAAGCCCTTGTATGACACACACAGCTTTTGCAGTCACGATTCTGCAAAGAAACATGCATCATTTTTAAATAGGAAAATTTTAAAACAGGATTTTGGTGGGATTTTTTGTTTCTTTATTATTCCTTGAATTCAGCTCTTTCCTAAAGTGCTAGTTTAGGAATACAGAAAATCCATGTGCATCTCCCTCCCCTATGGGTAAGTCAGTCCTGGCAAAAAGATATTCAGAATACAGACTGCTTATAAAAACTGTTGGCATATAGGGACACTTAGCTTGAACTCCAGCCCTTGTTAGAAACAGTTTGAGGGACTACGACCAGATTTAATCACTTTGTTTATTAATATGGTTCAAGTTCTACATTTCAGTTTTTCTTGTGTTAGCCAGTTTTGTTTTCTTTGTTCCCACATTAAAGATGCTCAAAACTCAACAGGCGGCAATAGACCCAGTCTGCAACTGTAAAATTGGCGCTATACAAGTTGCTGTCAAATGCACTTTTAATCTAACTTCTGTAAGCTTTAGGAACTTTACATTACTTACAATACCAAATAATTTTTGAGGTGGTAGTACATCACTTCAGTTGATGTCATCTCCTCTACAACTCACTGCCCAGGGTACAGCTGGATTACAGCTTGCCAAGATGCCTGACAGGGCCCCCGCGCAGGCTGACACTGCTATACTCTGACTTAATGATGAAAAAAAACCCCAAAACTCCAACCCACACCACACACTCTTTTAGGAACAACCCTGCCATTCTAACCCGTCAAGTATCTAGTAGAAAGACCCAAACTGGGTCCATGGGGAGCCACACAGCGAGGCACCCGATCCATCTCCAGGGAGGCAGAGCAGTCCAGGCTGACCCCACGCTCCCCTTCGCACTCCTGCCCCTGCCCGATGGCTGGCCAGGGCAGCGCAGGAGCCAGGCACTGCCAGCAGCTGATGGCAGCACCTGAGTCCTTGGCTCCCAGGAGTCAGCAGTGCCAGGCTGTCGTGGTTTAACCCCAGCCAGCAACTAAGCACCACGCAGCCGCTCACTCACTCCCCCCCCCAGCCAGTGGGATGGGGGAGAAAATCAGGAAAAGAAGTAAAACTCCTGGGTTGAGATAAGAACGATTTAATAGAACAGAAAAGAAGAGACTAATAATGATAATGATAACACTAATAAAATGACAACAGCAATAATAAAAGGATTGGAATGTACAAATGATGCGCAGGGCAATTGCTCACCACCCGCCGACCGACACCCAGTCCCCAAGCAGCAAATCCCTGCTCCCCACTTCCCAGTTCCTAAACTAGACAGGACGTCCCATGGTATGGAATACACTGTTGGCCAGTTTGGGTCAGGTGCCCTGGCTGGGCATGAGAAGCTGAAAAATCCTTGACTGTAGTCTAAACACTACTGAGCAACAACTGAAAACATCAGTGTTATCAACATTCTTCACATACTGAACTCAAAACATAGCACTGTACCAGCTACTAGGAAGACAGCTAACTACATCCCAGATGAAACCAGGACACAGGCCTGGCCCACGGCACTGCCCCTTGGGGACAGGGTCCCTGCTGAGCAACACTCAGGCCCCTCCGATGCTTCCCCACCCAGCTGAGCTGCTGGTCACTGCCCAGCTGCCCGCCGCAGCCACGCTGTGCCACCTGCAGAGCCTCGCAGGAAGACGTGAGCAGCGGAGCAAAAAGCAGCTGGGGGTGAGGGCTCGCCAGCCGCAGCGCCCCATGGGAACACCAGCAAAACCATTTCTGCTTCTGCCGAAATGCAACAGTTGCAGGCAACATCCCCAGCAATTAAGTGCTCTGCCTCCGCATCACCCTGCTGAAGGCTTTTTCCAAGCCTGGAGAATGTAAGCATGCATTAACTTGTCAGAAAACTCATGGGGAAAGAAAACAGAGCAATATAAACAGGAAACTTCTTACATCACCTGCTGGGCTCCTGCAGGCAAGGAGGATCCCCACTACCTCTCGAAGCAGAGCTGTGCCCGGGCAGCACTGCTTCACGATGGCAGCACGCCGTCGGTGGGGCAACACGGGAAGGGAGCTGACCTGGAGAGGCCGAGGCAGACCTGTCCGGCAGGATGGGCACTACGCAGCCCCAGCTCACCAAGTCCTCCGCTTGGCTAAGAGGCAAGGAACGTGCGGGACAAAGGAAACAGCAGCCAGCACAGGGCACCCAGCACCTCGGGCACAAGGAATGGTCCTTCTCCTCATGGAGCTGGGGAAAGACACTCCTCAAGCATGTGCTACAAACAGATGGACTTGATGGAGTGGCACCCAGTAAGAAAGGTGTCACCGAGCCCATCCCTCCAAGTGTGGGGTGATCTACCTGCTGCCCGACGGTCAGTATGGGGTTACTGCTACCACAGGACAGACCGTTGGCAAACAGGCCCACTAAACTGCCTGCCCCATAGGATGGGTCTGCCCCACCTGTGGTGAGCTGTCCAGCTCCAGCACAGTCCTGGGTGAACAGCATGCTCAGGCTCTCACCCCAGAGCAAACCCCACCATGGAGCTGGCGTTCAGCCCGCAGCAAGGAACGCGGCTGCACAGGAACCACAGCTCTCTCCTACCCCAGGCTCCCTGCCTCCCACCTCTCCTCCCTTTTCTTCCCACCCATACGCTCAGTCTTGCCAGTTTGGGCAGATTTTCAGGAATCTAAGTTCAGACACACTGTGCACGTTTTGGCAAAATCAAGTCTTTGGTGCTTCACCTGTTCAAAGACCTGGTTAGTCATTACGAGCGTCAGTAGCTGTTTTCTAAGCAGACACAAAGGCAATGGAGATTTCCGAGCAATTAAAAAACTACTGAGGGAAAAAGATCTCTGACCCATTCACCAAGATTCCCCTGGGTCTGCTACCCTGGGCCCTGCCGCACCGCCACCTCCAGCCGGGCAGTATGCCGAACCCCGGGGCTCCATGCAAACCTGGGAAATGGACCAGGACATCCCCTGGACATTTAACTTACACCTGGGCTGAAAGCACCCATGCCTTTGCTTGTTTGTTTTAAAGAGGAACAAAGGGAGAAGGAAGGAAAAGAATATGGCAACGGCTGGAATAAGGACACAAAGGAAAGGGAAACTGGGTAAAGCCTATAAATAACATAGCCGTCTCAGAAAGAGAGAACTGGGTACTTCACTGTCACAAAACACAAAACTCAAAACCATCAGTAAAACTACACGATGCCAAATTCATCGCTAATAAGAAGAAATACTTTCCCACACAACTCTGAATCCACATGTGGAACTGAACGCTGCAGGATGCTGTAGCAAAAAGCAAAGCAATCAGATCCCTAAAGGGACTACAACAACATTCCAAGATAAACTGGTGTTAATGCTTCCCAAAAGATGAGTGGTTCTCCTTTTCAGGGTGCAGTTTGAACCTCTAACTATTAGGGTTTTAGGGAGTACACTCCTAGGATGGAGCCTTCATCAAGGCTTTACACCCTGAAGCAACAATCAACTCTCAGTGTCTCATTAGGGAAATTGCATATCTGGAGAGAGACAGAGCCTGAGACTGCCCAAGTCCTCACGTTGCCCACGTCTCAGAACATGACTTTCTCTGCTGTATTGAGAAGTGCACTTCTGCATACTCAGCTTCGTGCCTTCAGATAGGACAGGCTGGGTTCCAGAGAGGTCAGGGGGAAGTGGCAACCCCACATACCCTACACTGCTCCAGAGCCCTGACTCGCGCAGTGGAGCCACATTCCCAGATGTCCAGACAAGAAAAGCACAGCCCTACGTGCCACCATCCCATGGTTTTGGGCACCAGGACATCCTGTCACATCAGGGTGGCACCCAGAGCAGCTCCATCACAGCAGTTGCTGTATGGTGAAAATGACACCAACTGCGGCTCACAGCATCCAGGCACAGAGACGTGCTGCTGATTTGCCATACAGGAGGCTGAGGGAGTAAGGGTGTGGAAGCCATGCTTAGGGCAAGGCAACTGCAGACAGCAGGCACTTTCCCACAGCCTGCAGGGGGGACTGCTGGCCCCAGGGTCAGAGAAGGGTTCCTGGTAAACAGAGAGGAAGGCAGAAGAACCAGAGGAAGGGCAGACTCCTCTCTGTGCCCCCTAGGAGAGAGCGACCCACATTCACAAGCATTATTACAACACCACTGTAATTGGATTAAGCCACAGGAAGAGTCCTTTATCTTGTTTAGTTTAAACTACGTTAGCGCTGAAGCTCCCTATTAAACCACAGACAGGCTATCTGGGGTGAGCGCTCTCTCTGCCCAGTCATTTAGGCAGAATGCAATTCTGTTATCACAACTCTCACATTGTCCCGTGCTCCTTTATCAGGGCAAGCAGCTAATTACACAGCCTGGCTCACACAGGTAATGAGCACTCAGAAAAATGCAGTAAATGCAAAAACCTTCCAGGTCTTTAAGGAGCCTTTTCAGAATCCCCTCCCTCGTGTCCTTACTTCAGCCTGATCCATTTTCTTCCTTCTTACACTGAACAGGGTATGCAATGATCCAGAGCTGAAAAGGTGTGAGCAAAGCCTCAAGTCAACTGGTTTCCACTCCCAGCCACACGTAGCACAGTTGGAGCATGATACATAGAAAGGTGAGCAGATGGGACTACGGGCCAAATCTTTCCATATAGAGCTCTGTAAGGTCAGTATTTTATGATATTTCACTGTTTGGGACACTAACCTATGGGGAGAAAAGTCACAACTAATTCAAGGAACAAGCAGCTGTTAAACAGTGACCTCCCTTTATCCATTCACGTATTCATCTCTGCTGTATCCAGCTGCCTTTTCCTGCTGCCAAGCCTCCTGCCAAAGCTTAGTTTAGAGGTTTGCATTCTGTGCATCAAAATCATCTTTGCAATTTCAGCTGGGTGCGAAACTCTTTGCTTCCCATTCTGGAGCTTATCATCATCATTGTGCAGCGCTGATATGTGGGATTAAACAGCTGATGCGGGATCCATTTATTCAGAGATATAATTTGTGTAATACTTAGGACTCCTTCAGGATGGATGTTACTAGGATTATTAAATTTGCATGCCACAGTGGCCAGCTGTTTCTGAAAACCCCTCCTCCAGGTAATTATGCTTCTCTGGAGTGGCACAGATGAAGTAGCACAACTGCACCCACAAAACTCCACTGAGGGAAAGCACTAAGTGCTGTGGGCTGAGAGGTGGGCAGCTGGATATCAAATTACTTCTTAAAGCACACATCTGAAGGCAAGCCCTCTCTGAAGAGATGCTGTTCCCAGCAAAGTAAAGCCTCATTAGTGCAGAACCAAACCATTAGCAACAGCAGCTGAAATAGCTCTACTTACTACATCATAACCTGTCGGTGCTCGGTTCCGGGATGCAACCACACCAACACCCGTGATGGGATCCATCGGCAAGTCAGGCAAGGCATCTGAGAGGTCTCGCACTTCAGGCATTATGGACTGATCCTGAAAGAAAGGAGCAGAATTAAAGGGCTGCTCGGCAGCACACCCCAGCAGAAGACATAGAGCACTGAGAGCCTGCATGCATGCTACAGTGCCTGTGCTGACACACCACAGACTGCCAAGTTAAACACAGGATTAGGCCAGACACACCTTCTGCACTTTCATTTGCTTTTGATAAGAGGGTACATTTGTGCAATGCCCAACAGGTTTGGAATTTGGGCCAGCAGCCCCTTCTGAGATTAATTTTGTTGCTTCCAGTATACTTAGCATGGGCTGGTCTCCATCTAGCAATGATGGGAAAACCCAAGCTCATTGCCTTCCCTCCAAAACAGAGAGCAAATTTCATCCCTGAGTTAGGCTGGCTGAAGCAGCTCTGCCATTTCAAGCAGCAAGAAATCTGCTCTTAATGGCTTCATTGGGAGGTTCCCCATCCACTACGGGTGTTAGACAGGCTGGGGGTTCGCCCACGAGTCGTCAGTCCCATTGTACCCTCCTGAACCACACCATTTTCATATAGCAGCACAGATGTATCTGGCGCCGTATGCAAAACTGCGCTTGCTGCAGAGAGCCTCAACACCAGGGGAACACAGATGAAGCAGCACAGGATGGTCTGATGCAAAGCAGACAGAGGCCTTGAAGAGGCCTGAGCATCTTCCAGGAGAAGGGAGACATCATCAAGTACTTCAGGGGAGGGAGATACGCAAAGGGGGATAGAAGCAGGTAAGACCAATCAATTTTGGAAAGATGCTGTTGCAGGAAGCAGGAGGAGAGGACGAGAGCTGCTGAAACGACTCACTGAGGAGGAGGATGGGGAAAGGTGCCACTGCCTCAGCATGTGGTCTCCTGCAGAGGCAGCCAGTTAGGGCAAGTCTTCTCCAGCTTTCAGGCAGGAATGCCCCAGGAAACCGCCCCCCACGCACCCCGAGATAAAAGGGCAGTGCTTTGTGTAAACAAGCGTCACTGCTGAGCAGCCAGACAAGCCGTGAACCAGAGCTACCTAATACAATTCCCTCCTCAGAGCAATTAAATCCCAGCATTTCTAGGCCATGTAGACGGCTGGTTACTTACTGCTTCTAGAAAAGGCAGAGGTGAGTGCTGGTGCCAGTGGGACCTGGGTTTACACTTCACAATGCCCAGTCTGAACAAACATCGTGCTGCAGGCAATAAAAAAGAGCAAGTCTGGGCCCTATGTAAATAATAATAACGTCACATGAACAGCCAGACTACCCCAGGAGTCCAAAACAACAGAAGCTAGTGACCAGTAATGGTGAGAACACTACTGCTGATGAACCAAACCCAGGAGAGAGCTCTGCTTTGGCACCTAGACAAGCATCCAGCACGCAGAGAGCAAAGCAGACACACTTTGCTCCCTACACGGTTTAAGCTTCCAAAGCACAACTAGAAGCGCACCCTGAGCCGCAGGGCTCACCCTCCCCTCTCCTCGCCTGCCCTGAGGAGGACCCTGCCGCAGTAACGCTGGTGGCACCCGGCACAGCCCAGACAAACCCTGCACCGCTGCTTGCGCTGCTCCACCGGCTCATCCAGATGCCTCGCAGATAATCCAGAACCCATTGCCTAAAACGTGCAGTACCGAGCAAACATAATGTGAATTTAACAAAGAACTTACAATCTGTTCTTCATACAGATGCATGTTTTCTGAAACTTTGCCAACTTTTCCAACTCTCAATACTGTGACGACTTGTTACTACACATTGGGAGGAGCTGGGAGATAATGAACGCTGATACGAGCTTCTCTTAGGCTGTTTTGAACTGAAATCCAGGTAAGTGACGATATTCCCCAGCACACTAAGAACACCGCACAGCAGGTTCCAGCACGGCTGCAGCTGCACTGCGGGGAAGCAGATCCGCTCCCATGGCGCCTCCGGCCTCCAACAAACCCGTCCTGACGAAGCGCCGGCTTGCTCCGCAGAGGCAGCAGGAGCAGGGGCAGCCGGGATGCCACCGACACCTCACCTCACAGGGGGGGAAGCAGAGGGGCTGTGCCCCCTCCCAGGCCCTGGGAGAGCCCAGGTGGGCAGGGAGCCCCTGGCACTCCCTCTTCTGCGGCAGCGATGGCAGGCACAGGGCTAATGCGGGCAGGGGACCTGCTGCCCAATGCTGCCCAGGCCCCGGCTCACCGCGCCGGGGCCTGCTGCAGGGAGGCCCAGCTGCCCCGGCAGGAACCCAGGCAGCAGCAGGGTCAGCCTGGGATAGGCCGAGGACGGGGCCCTGGTGGTCCTGGCACCACCGCGGGATGTGGGGGTGCCTCTACCCGCAGCGCAGTGCCGCTGGGCAGACCCACTCAGCCTGACGGCACCCCGTCCTCGGCGGGAGGAAGAAGGGCACCTTTGTCGGAGCCGTTTGCGGTCCCGCTCGGCGCAGCAGGGGGAGGGGAAACGGCATCAATCCTCACTTTGTGCCGGCTCACACAAAGCCTCTCTATGGCGGCGGCAGCGGCTAAGCATGGAGGAGAGGGCTTTCCGCTTTGAGAGGGCGGGAGGCAGAAGCCACGGGGCGAGACGCAAGGCGGCACTGGTGCAGGGCCCGGAGCAGCACCCCATTATGGCGAGGGCTGAGCCAGGCTCCCCGCGCCCGCCACCACTGTGCAGCACGCAGTGAGCCTGGCACCTTCCTCTGCCTGGCACTCGCACCGCGGCCCGTGCCCGGCGGGGACGGGCAGGCAGAGCATCTGCCCAGAAAACGAACCTCCGGGGTCTCCGGGCAGCGCGGCACATCCTGTTCCGCAGTGGGAGGGCTGGGGCGGCAGCACTCAAAGGCGGCTGGGCCTGCACCCAGCCACCGCAGCACGACGAGGCTCTGCCACACCAGGCCAGCTTCCCGCCGTGCGGGTGGCATCGAGGATGCGTCTGGAACAGATATGGAGCAACAGCAATCGGTTTGCACACTCGGATAAATGTTTTTGTGAACTTTGTGCAGGTCAGAGGGGAGTCTCTGGCTGGGCAGTCATACAGACAATTAGTTACATTGCACTTCTCCCCCAGGGCATCTGCAAAGTTTGGTTTCTTTTCTATCGCGCCTTTGAACTTAAAAATAAAAAAAAACCAGTAGAAGAACAGATTAAATTAAGGAGCAGGATTCTATAAATACTCGTATTAGACAGCTTGTTATTTTAATGAAGTTCTCTTTAAACAACACGAGTTTGACCTATACACCCGCCTAACATCACGGTGGCCTAGAACTCAAACCAGCTGACCAGATGGCCTTTCACCATCCTGCACTAAGCTGCATCTGCCGGGCGCTGCTGAAGGGCCTGCGCCACTCCACCCGCTGCAGGGTTATTCTGGGAACAGCCCAAAACAATTCAAAGAACATTTTTCCCATTAGTTGGGAGCATGCTCCCTGGAGGTCATTCTCAACTGCAGGGCCACATCCAGCCCCCAGCACGCCCATGCAGCGAAGGGAAGCCGGATGCGAGCCCTGGGGCAGGAAGAAGCTTCAAAACACCATGGGGCCACTCGGACAAAACCAGCAGGGGAAGGATGTGCCTCCACCAGAGAAAGTCCCTGTGCATCCTGCTGGGACCAGTCCCGAGCAGTGCACGGCAGAGCGGGGCGGGATGGCTGCAGTACAAGATGCGGAGAACAGGCTCTCGGCACGCAGCCACCATGCTGCTGGCTTTATCCTGAATGCTTCCCGCCCCCTCAAACCGGCCATGCTGGGAGGCAGGAGGCACGGGTGTCCCAGGGATCTTGACATCCAGCTGCAGGAGAGGCCTTCAGGGACTCTGCCAGCCTCTGCCACAGCCTTCTCGCCTTCTGCCCTCAGCCAAGGCCCTGCTTTATCTTCTTTTGCCTCCTCCTGCCCAGGGTTTGGGGGACCACTTCCTCTGTGTGGCACCAACCCAGGCCCAGCCCAGTACAGCCAGATGCAGACTGGCCCCAACAGGCACCTCTGCAGGCATGCGGCACAGACCTTATCCTGCTCCCTCAGCAGGGCAGCAAGGCTCCCTGCTTCAACCCAGCACAGATGGCTCTGCGGGCTGCGGTGCACTGAGGGGGTAGGGGAGAGCAGTGCTGGGGTGCCCTGCAGCAGGCAGGCTCCAGGCATTGCCGCCGACCAGGCTTCCAGAAGTCTTTGCATCAGGGAGTTTGAGGCCAAGGAGCTGAGGGCCTTTCACACAAGCCAGAGCAAGCAGTGTTCTGTCCTGTCCTGCCAGCCCTGACTCCAGAGGCTGCCAGCCCACAGGGCAAGCCACCAGGTAGAGCAGAAGAGCAGAGAAAGCACGGGCAGCAGGCAGTAACATTTAGTCAGAAAGCCACACACGGACAGCCCAGCCAGGGTCTGTCTCAGTTTGATCCGTCACCAGACAACGCTCATTGGTGCTCCGCTCTGGGTCCTCCTGCTGCAAAGTACCTACTTCCAACACACACACCGGGTCTGCTCCCTAGATGTGTAACACAGGATCCGTGTTGCCCTGGCAGTGCCAAGCCCTCTGCTGACTTGGCAGCGCAGCTCAACGTAGCTGTCTCAGCACCCCGAGCCCCGCACTCTGCCGAGACAGCAAAGCTGAGGGCAGCTCATCATCCCAGAGGGAACTGTCTTGCAGCCCATGTCCGCAGTCACACACACCTCCCTTCTCCCAGCACCCCCAAGACTGTTTACATCCTTTTCACTCACTCTCACCCATTTTCTTGCTAGCTCATCTCCACTTTTATTAGTTTATCCTAGGCATATTTTTCTGCTGGCTTCACTGTCCGTTTCAAGTATTCCACTGAGGTGACTGACCACACACACCGCTGGACTTTGGCTGGGACACATATATAGAAAAGGAATATGTTTTCAGAAATATGAATTATTGTGAGTTTGTACAGCATTTTTCCCTCTCAGTGTTCCTTTCAACAAGTTAGGCAAGTTCAAGAGCTGGTGGGTACATGATCAGATCAGGCCTGATGACGTATTTGCTGCAGAAGCATCACGCTGCCAGCAAAGCAGGTCAAGTTCTAAAGTTAAATAGCAAGGGACTTGGAGAGAGAATGGTCTTATTGTTTCTTCCTTCAACTACAAGCCCTGCACTTTTGACACTGACTTGCTCTTCCCACAGGCAAAGAAGTATGAGCTAAGGCAAAACTGGAGAAAAATTATCAACTACCTCACTGAGTTCCTGCACCCTGCAGGAAATAATCCCATCAAACCAAGGCAGACACACTGCTAAAACCCTCACTTGCATGCTCGGGTTATCACTCCATCATTTTGAAAAGGCGGTAGGTAATGCTGGCAACAACACGGGTTGCTTAGAAGTCACTCCTCCGCATGCCTGGTCCTCCCACCACATCCAGGAACAGGACACAGCCCCAGCCAATTTTCTATTTCTGTTCACGGAATAGGACATAGTTTCAATCAGAAAAACAGGAGACCGTGGCAGGACACAGGGTCAGGGCCCTGGAGGCCTCCATCACAAGCAGGCAGAATTTCAGTTTCACATTTCGCCCCGAACGAAAGTATGTCTGGAATCACCCCTGCACCCAGGCTTCCATCCTTGAGACAGCTGCCCCGTGTCAGCTGCAAAACCTCTACAGTTTGTGACTGAACTGTATGGAAATGGGAACTTAAGTCACAGAATGAGCAGAATTGAGACCTTGTATTGCTTCACAGCACTTCTAACCACGGACACGCATTTGTGAAGAGTGTCCTATTTCAAACCAAAATAGGTTTCCATACACAGATGACCTTGCACCAGGACAGCAAAATTTAAATGGCATTCAGTTCAGTTATTTCTATCTTGGCACACATATGAACAAGTCCCTGGGGGCTACAGGAACCCCTGAGCCCGGGATTCACTTTGTCAGAGCAGCGCGCTACAAGACTGAAATTTTGTGTGTTTTATTTCACACCTCCAGAAGCTCAAACTAAGACTTCATCCCAGTACACTGAGAAAATCTATCGGGTAAGGCTATCTGAGCTAAAAATTACAGGGACGACACTGCCAACCTGCCACACGAGGCACAGACACCACGAAGGCATACGTTAGCATGTTCTCCCTCAGTTGAAACAAAACACAAGATGGAGAAACCTCAGTTTTAGCCCGATCAGCTGAACACCTGCTGAAGCCCAGCCTGTCTTGTTTCAGCTGAAGGACTCTGCTTGCATTACCACAACCAAGCTGCGAATGCCTCAGCTCAGAGAAAGCGCAGAAAATACTGAAGCTTGGTGCATCTTCGAGAATCTCTCCAGAAAC